GCTCGGATAATATTCACATATTTCTCAGGGACATCTTTCCTGAGTAGACAGTCCCAAAGTGCATGTCTATCCACTAAATCGAATGCACCTTTGATATCGAGGAACACGACTACGGTGGGCCGCCAATATATATGACGGTGCTCCAACAACTGACGCAAGGTGAAGATGTGGTCAATGCAGCCACCACCTCGACGAAATCCAGCTTGCTCTTCTCGAATCTGGTTTTCACAAGTGGCAATCAGTCTGTGAAGGATGACAGAGGCAAACAATTTGCAGGTGATGGAGATCGGACTGATTCCTCTATGGCTGCCGCATTCCGATCGTGAGAATCCCTTGAATGTTGGGACTATGACGGAGCGGCTCCAAACGGTTGGGACAGTTTCCTGCTCCCACAGTCTCACTAGTAACTCATGTAAATCATCCAAAAGAGCAGGTCCCCCGAATTCGAAGAGGGCTGGAGAAAGATCATCAGGTCCCGCGGTTTTATTTAACTTCAACAGTGCGATCTCACGTTCGACTTCTGAGCGAGAGGGTGGATCCAAAGGGACAGCCCACGGAGCGGGGCGATCAGTGGCCGGCGAGAAATCTAACCATTCCGACCGATTAAATTGCCTTTCAAAGTGCTCAGCCCAACGCTCTAAGCGTTTTGATAAGTTATGGATACCAGAATGTCATCTACATACCTTTTGTATAACCTTGCTTCACCAATACTGGCAGCGACTTGTCTTTCAATCAATCTTTCTCGGCTTGATTGAAAGACAAGTCGCTGCCAGTATTGGTGAAGCAAGGTTATACAAAAGGCATGTAGATGACATTCTGGTGTTCACCAACAGCGAACATTTTACTCGCCTGTTAAGTTATGGATAGGCTGTCCACTCTCGTCACGTATAGTTTCACTAACAACAGGTCTCCTGCTGTCCGTTTCCCGTATCAGACGGAATAACTTACGATGGTTACCAAAGGCAGCGGCCATTTCCATCTCTGATGCACGATGAGTCCACCAGGATTCGCGGTCCCTCTTCAGGCTAGCACGGAGTTTTGCCCGGAGCCCTTTGCGAGTTTCACTGTGTTCGCCTCCAGCCGGAATATGCCGGCGAGCATTTATAAGTTCCAGAGACTGTGAAGAGACCCAATGTCCATGTTGGTGATTAGACATACCACATGAGGATTTTCCTGCTGCTAGTAAGGTCTGGTGAATATGAGACCAGTGAGCGTTTATTCAACTCGCATGACAGCGTACTTCGATACGCATTCAGAACAGCTGGCTTCGCCAGTTGGCTGGTGTCAATGCGCTCACAGCGTCGTCGTGGGCGTCCGCCAAAACGCATCCGCAGGTCAGCACATACAAGTGCATGGTCGGTGTCCACACCTGTGCTCCAAATCGAGCGACAGTTCTGGACGCAGCCTCTCCATCGGTAACTTATCGCAATGCGATCGATTTGCGTCCAAGGCTGGTGGGCGCCAAGTCACCCTCCGGCGAGTGCTGTGTCGGAAATTAGTGCTCGCAAGAAATAAGTGAGCATCCTCACACAAATGAAGTAACCGCTCACCGTTATCATTACGGGAGCCTACACCATGTTGGCCGCCCAGACGCAGCTTATCTGTGGACAATATTCCAACTTGAGCGTTCAAACCCCCAGCCAGCAAAACAGTGTCCGAGCTTCTTCTGTGGCGAAGGAGTTCGTTCAGTTGACGATAGAAGTCGTCTTTTACCGAGTCATCGCTACAGTTTGTCGGTGCATAGGCAGCGATAACTAATAAACACCTGTTAGTCCTACGCAACTTCGAAGTTTTGAATGAGCCAGCCAATCGGACCGCACACATCCGGCTACTGATTGGAATCCAATCAACCAGAGTAGCTTCAGCCCGGGGATTCAGGGCAATACCAACAACGGCTTGGCCGGTGCTCGAAGCTGCATCGTCAACGGATAGGCGTAATGAGAAAGTGCTGCTAGTGTCACCTGAAGGGGATCGCAGAGTGAGTACAGAGCTCGAGTCTTGCAGTCGGGTCTCCGATAAGCAGCAGATATCGATCGAGAGGGTCTCTAATGTTCGGGCAAGTGCTGCCTGTTGACCGATCTGAATCAATGTGCGAACATTGAGGCATGCCAATCTGAAGGAGGATCGAGGGTTCCAAATGGAAGCCGATAAACTGGGAGGGGCCGCTTGGTTGGACATGGGTCTGTTGACAGGGCAGGAATGACGCTCCGCGTTCGCATGTGAGTTGAAACTAAAAGACAAGCGACTATTGAAGCAAGGTGGGAGAGGGCCGAGAATTGGGGGGTTGAAAATATGGGGGATAAAAGTGAAGCTGGAACGGGACGATAAGAGTGAAAAAGCGCAGGAGAGGGAATAAGAAGACGGGAAGGCTTGAGCAGTAGCATCCAAACCCCTATCTACCCTGCCCGATGCTCTGCGGTGGCCAGAGCATCAGAAATTTGTTTGAAGAGAAATTCATTGTATTGCGTGGGCAGAATACTGTCAGGTTGCCCAGGCCTAGACAGAACGATTAGGGTTCTCAACCAAAACCTTGGGTTCAAAAACCTGTCCGCAAGGCAGCGGGTTTGGCACTGGGCTACAAGGAGTCCGTTTTAAGGAATAAGGAGCCACCCTGATTCCAACCCCCAACCTGGAGGACCAGGAGGCTGAGTTTGTCTGCCTCTAACCATTGACCAACTGGTATGAGTGACTCTGAAGGTGCAAAAATGCACCATACAGTATAGCTCAATGGATCACTGAGGCACACAAACCATCGCACCACGGTAAGGTCCAGCCTCATTGCGATGGAGGTCGTTTACCGCATTTCCCGGTAGCGCACCAGATACGTGTTACAAGACGTGTGACAGACAGCTATGGATGGTTGAAGTGATGTGATCTATTCAGTTTCATCTTTGATCAGTTGACAAAAAGCGCAGGAATATATTGGCGTCCATTGTGCCTGATGACAATGATACTTAGACACAGGCAGCAATCAGCGCACGGTTGTAATAGAATTTCGTCATTGTCCGCGCGAGCCCAGGTAATTTATCTGTAAATTCGAATCTCCGGCCTATAAAGCAGTCTGAAACGATGCACAAGTGACGTGCTAAGTTCTTGGTAATTGGTATTTTGCAGAAACGATACGTCTGTATTTTGCGGTCGATGTATAGAACCACGCGGGTCTTATCGATATGTGAAGTAATCTCTTCTGTGAGTTGATGACCGGTTATCAAGGGACTAAGATACGTGTACTGATTAACCATTATTGGTGGCTTTTGGGTTACCACGAGGACTGGTGGCCAAGTCTCACCGCAGTGTATTGGAATTTAGGTATATATTAAGGAGCGAGGTGATTCAGCTTCTTTAGTATCGCTTGCACAACCGTTTGATTCGATGCAAAGATAGTCATGCCATCCGAGCACTCTGTTTCCTGGATCAGCGGATTTTTCACCTCAGTAAACAGGATACCACAAAAGCAGATACGATCACATGGGTCAGGGTGAAGGACCATTTCGTCTGAGTGTAATTTTGTTCCAACATCAAGTAGATCGCCAGTATTTGGTGAATGCCTCTTCTACGAGAGCGGAGGTCAATCCGGCTATCAGTGGTCCGATGCACTAGAGCACCGCCGTTTGCGAATAACTTGGATGTCAGAGCAACGAGTAAAGTACATTGTTGAATTTTGTAACAATTACCACGTGGCTATCCGTTTCCACACGAATCGGGCATGAATGTTTCTAACAGAAACCATTTTTGATGAAATCAACCGGTGGTAGCGTACGCTGAGCCACACGGGAATCGAGTATTCATCTGTCTGCAAACTAGGGTAGAAATCAAAGTCTTACCGGAAACGTCAAATTCAGCATGCGATGTCCACTGATCGATTCACCATACTAGGATAAATTAAGTCCGTGCTTTGAATTACGTTTTAGGTACATTGTCAGGGTAGTCTGGACTTTCGTTGACTAATCCGAAGAGTAGTCCTATGCTCGTCTTTTCTTGCGGCATCCTTACAGGCTGAAGTGACTTTCTAGAGAGAAAGGTTAGTGTTTACGGCATCCATCCATTCTGTAGTTAGCTTGAGAAATACCAGGGTATGACAGTGGGTACTATTTGCGTGCTGGGTGTTGTATTCCAGAAGAACCTCTTGTTTAAGGTGTGCAAGTTATTGTTATCAGAGAAGGCTAATAATGCAATAGGGCATTGAGAGCCAAAAAGAGATTACTCTGTTGATCCCGACATACGATAGCCAGAGAATTGCGCTTTGTACCAGTTAGGTAGAACCCCGAGGTTCCCAGTTAATGACATGGCGAAATTGTATAAAGACAATGACGGGATGGCCAAGTCGGGTTGGTGCTTACCATTTACCCGGTTGGAGTCCTCGGGGGCAGTAACATCAGTGGTTTGGCGCGTTATCGAGCCAGTTCATAGCATTAATGATCACAAGTCTGCCTTGTAATCGGACGGCGCTGGTTCGAGCACGCGTAGGGGACCGGGCGACCCTCGCAGTATCCTTAGCCCACGTGCGACTGGTGATGGTTGCGAGGCAACGAAGCGTCGGTATTGCGTACCGGCGTATTACTGATGCGTTTTTTTACCTTATCGGGAATGGCGCGATCACGCAGTAGGTGGCGCTCTTGTATTCGTCTGTGCTTCGGATTTTTTATTATTCCATCTGACGATTTAAATTCTCGGCTCTTCCTCTTGTAGTATCGGTTGGTGACGTGTTAAGGGAACTGAATCCAGCGCACCCAAGTATAGAGAACAAATTGAACTGAACTTAAGTCATGCGGTAGGTCTCTTCAATTTTTACATTCCTTTACGCGATCTCTCCCAATCCACGGCTAGAACAGTGCAGTGTTAGTGTATAGTTGTTAATGGTGATGACGACGAGCATGATGCATCCGTGGTGCGCTACACAGTGTAGATCGGCTGATCCTGTATGAAGACAAATCACCGCACAGCATTAATATCAAATCATGCTGAAGTAGCGATAATTGAAAAAGTTAAATCTAACGTACATTTCGCTACGCTTTCGGATTATCTTGGCTTTGACTCCTTTCCCAAATGACTGATCCGTTTCTGAGAAGGCGGAGTCTCTTGCAGTATCCGCGCCATCGTGGAAGCTACTGGCCGAACGCACAGCTTGCAGCAAAACCTCTGGATTCAGATCAGGTACAGTGCAAACGATAACACGATTTTTATGTAGCTGGAACGTGATACTAACCACTCCACGAATCCTCAGAAGAGCATGCCGGATCGCTTCGATGTCAGTCTACAAAGTGCAATAGAACTGGATAAGTGGAAATTTCCCCATAACAATAGAATCGATCAATAGAGAAGCAAACACAGCATATAGAAAATACGTTGACGTCACCACCACACAACTCGCAAACTGACTAAAATACCAGTTTGCCCAGCATACGAAGCGGTCGGTTGCTTGTAAAGTAACTACATTAACAAAACAGTCGCTGTAGTTAACATGAAGCCACAAATGTGCGGTGGAAACAGTTGTATATCATGTGTATCTGTCGTTTTATTTAGCATAGTAAAAATTAGGTAAAGACATAAGGAGTTGAATGTCATGAAATCGTGCACATAATTCCGGGGAGCTTGATTATTTGGGAGAAAATAAAACAAAGGCAATCAACCATACAGATGTGGAAAGATGAGAACCTTGCATTGAACATGGTAAAGTTTTCTGTAAAGAAATAAACATGTAAATTAATTTATCTCCTGAACCCAGGTTTTAGTCTCCGTTCACATGTAAACTAGTGTACGATACTGAAAAAGGCAAAGCATCAATTGCAGATATCGCTCCCGATAAAGCGGCTGTTTAAGTGATAAATATTCTTTGACTCATTCGTGAGGCTAGAACCATCACTTACGTCATGCTGGACACCATACAGACGAAGAGCTACGGTCTTCGGCTTTAGGTGTGTCATAGGTTCAAGCATTTCCTTATTCTTCAGCCGGTCATCTCTTGTGACAAAAACTTGTTCGTACAGATGCTTGGCAAGAGTAACGATCACGTCTTCTTCGTTAGCTACTTGTACTGTTGTTCGATTCATCAAAGAATTGAGCTGTTCAGACAAACCCAAAACACGACTCAGGATGCTTGAACCACGAGGTCGTTTGGACAAGGTGAGCAAGATCTGACTATATCGTAGAGTATGAAGGTAAAATACCTGCAGCACATGCAGCACAATCTCGTGATTATTGTTCGAAAGCAGCAATACTAGGCCATGGAGGCAAGTAGAATCCTGAACAAAGTAAAAGAAATTGATGGGGTAAACTACGTGTAGCAGAGATGCGTATTTCGTATCATTCTCGGCTAGATCCTTGAAGCCGATAAGGGCTTCTACCTCACCCATACTCCCAACTGGCCGAGATAGTAACCTGGAATGCAGATGGCGGTGTCAACAAGGTTGGCGTTGGTAAAAGCGATGCGAAGTCTGCAAGTATTAAGGATTCAAAACCATATCTCACCGAGTAAAGGAAGTGTATCAGACACCCGTAAGCAATCACAATAAGAGCTATGGTCTCCAAGACAATTTGAATAATCGGATAGTTAAGAACACACGTAGTCACTTATTAATGGAAAAATAGGATTGTAGTGGAAAAGACCACAAAAAAGCCAATGAAAAGCTGTCAACTACGAAAATTGTTAATCCGAAGCTCGGTTCATTTCAAGCCTTCAAAGTGTCAGAAGCTAGCAGTATGCCTTGAAGAGGAATGCAATCCGAGTAAGCAACGATTCCTGATGCCAGATACCAAGGAACAGCGCCGAACGCACGCGCAGTGAACCGAAGTAAGAAAACTGAAATTCGAAGAAATGTGTATCGATTCAGATAATTAAAAAGTGCCGCAAAATAGATATTCGAAAATAAAACATGAAAAATACGGAAGTTTACAAGCGCTAGAGAACTCCTCCTAGAGCGTAAGTCAAAAACATGAACGTTCGGATCTTGGTATTTCTCGTGAGTACTTAGTTTGGAAGGAAGAATAATTGCACATCCAAAACGTGTACGTTTTGTGTCTGCGCTTGTGACAAGATGGGGGGTTAGGGAGAAGAGGGAGCGGAATCCGTTTCGGATTTGACTGTCACCGCGGGCTCCATATGACAGCAACAGGACGTCTGCGCCTACAGACGGACATTGGGTGGCTTGCGCTGCATCACCCACAGCTCTATCCATACATCTCATTTCCAATGTAAACCCCAAGGAATAAGACCGGGAGGTCTGTGGATGGGAGCCACGTTTCATCAACAGAGCCGGCTCACACTCCTTCAACACGCACACCAGCAGCATTCCTGTCTATGTAGGGAATCATGCGTAGCAGACGTACACATCATCATCATCATACACGCTAGCTAGAGGTGGGGAACACCTCAGCTACTGTGCCGCAATACATAGAAAAAAGAAAAAAATGCAACTGGTGCAAGCCAGCTGAGCTACCGGTAACGGATGGGCATCGTTCCGGTAAGCTATCAGCCGGCTACTGTGCATCAAAAAAATTACTATGCAAAATTATATAAGGTTAAATAATGAGATCGTGGTTGGAGGGGGAGGCTAAGCGGAATGGGGTGGGACAAAGAAACTCACAGCACGAACGCCACTGAGGTCGGCTCCTAGCCATATCAGCAAGTGTGTGCAACCAAACGTGTTCATCGTCTTTCGGACCCCAACCAGGGAGCCGAGACGTTCCAACTGAGGCCAGCTCAGAAGTGAGGGCCTTCATTCCTCTTGACCAAGTCATCGCTTGGCCACCTCTCCTCTTCTTCCATCCACACGCCCGGCGCGCAAACAACGCACGTCGCGGGAGTCGGTGGGCTGGCATGCGTAACACGTGGCCGAGCCATCGGAGCCTGGTGCGTGAAATAACGGTGCTGAGCGGTTCATTTCCTTTTCCTGTGCCGTAAACAAGGCGTCGAACACGCTCGTTGCTCACGCGGTGTTCCCACCAGATGTGAGCTAAATTACGAAGGCACCGGTGGTCGAACGTAACTAGCCTCTTCAGGTCCGCTGCTTTAAGGGGCCAGGTTTCACAACCGTACAGTAGGGTCGAACGTACCGCTGCATTGTACACTCTACCCTTCAGGGCGAGGGTGATGTCGCGCCGCCGCCATAAGTGACCAAGGTTAGCAAAAGCGCCCCGAGCTTTTGCTATACGCTTCGTGATCTCATCTTCAATCCCACGGGCCCTGATACAACTTCCCAGGTAGTTGAATTTTTGAACGACTTCTAGCTGATCCCCACCAAGGGTCAGCGTAGGAGGCGGTCCACACCAATCTTGGAGGAACGCTTTGCACTTCGAGGGTGCGAAGCAAAGCCCAAAGTGACGGACAGCTAGTGCTAATCTGTCCAGTGCCGCTTGGCACATTTGTGAGCTGTCACAGATTAGGGCAATATCATCAGCATACTCTAAGTCAAGAAGTCGTTCTCCTGGGAGTAGCTCCACACCTTCTAAGTCGTGTCCTGTGAACGCGATTTCCATGACTTCGTCAACAACGAAGTTGAAGAAGAAAGGTGACAGCGGGCATCCTTGTCTCACGCCGCTGGAGATATTAAAGGGCGACGACAACTTGCCGTAAGCCCTCACTCTGCCCGAGCTACGCGCATATAATGCTCGGATAATATTCACATATTTCTCAGGGACATCTTTCCTGAGTAGACAGTCCCAAAGTGCATGTCTATCCACCGAATCGAATGCACCTTTGATATCGAGGAACACGACTACGGTGGGCCGCCAATATATGTGACGGTGCTCCAACAACTGACGCAAGGTGAAGATGTGGTCAATGCAGCCACCACCTCGACGAAATCCAGCTTGCTCTTCACGAATCTGGCTTTCACGCGTGCCAGTCAGTCTGTGAAGGATGACAGAGGCAAGCAATTTGGAGGCGATGGATATCAGACTGATTCCTCTATGGCTGCCGCATTCCGATCGTGAGCCTCCTTTGAAAATTGGGACTATGACGGAGCGGCTCCAATCGGTTGGGACAGTTTCCTGCTCCCACAGTCTCACTAGTAACTCGTGTAAATCATCCAAAAGAGCAGGTCCCCCGAATTCGAAGAGGGCTGGAGAAAGATCATCAGGTCCCGCGGTTTTATTTAACTTCAACAGTTCGATCTCACGTTCGACTTCTGAGCGAGAGGGTGGATCCAAAGGGACAGCCCAGGGAGTGGGACGATCAGTGGCCGGCGAGAAATCTAACCATTCCGACCGATTAAATTGCCTTTTAAAGTGCTCAGCCCAACGCTCTAAGCGTTTTGATAAGTTGTGGATAGGCTGTCCACTCTCGTCACGTATAGTTTCACTAGCACCAGGTCTCCTGCTGCCCGTTTCCCGTATCAGACGGAATAACTTACGATGGTTACCAAGGGCAGCGGCCATTTCCATCTCTGTTGCACGATTAGACCACCAGGATTCGCGGTCTCTCTTCAGGCTAGCACGGAGTTTTGCCCGGAGCCCTTTGCGAGTTTCACTGTGTTCGCTTCCAGCCGGAATATGCCGGCGAGCATTTATAAGTTCCAGAGACTGTGAAGAGACCCAATGTCCATGTTGGCGATTAGACATACCACATGAGGATTTTCCTGCTGCTAGTGGTACACAAGGCGGTGGCTAGGTCGTAGTCCCCATGAAACCACTCTTTGACCCTAGCACGGCCACGAGGACTTGCACCCCGCGCTCCCAGCAAAGATCAGTAGTCTCCTGAAACCAGTAATCCATGTGAATGGTGTTAAGCAGGTAGGCACTTCGACAACATTTACACCAAGCGCAGCCACACCGGAGATAACAAACAACGAACACAGTATTTGAAGTAGAATAAACACGCAAAATTGACACGGAATATGCAGCAGAATAACAAAACTGAGCAAATCAAATAAAGAGAAATACTTTATCCAGGATACGATCTAGTTTAAATATAAGTCTGTGTAGCCCAACTGCATGATGTATTCAACATCAGTCTAATAAGTACACATAGAGCCAGACAAAACCACTGAAATTAGCTGATGGCCGGTACAGACGCCGCATCATCATTATGGCACATTAGTTGGTTTCAGATGCAGATGGACTGGAACGATAGGAAAATCCCTTGAGTGTTCCTTCTTGAGCAAATCGTTGAGCCAGGAAATGCTAAGATGCTAGGTCTTGATAGATCTGAAACGAAACACCCGAAACACACCCTGATCAACCAATTACTGCCCACGTTCCCTGCACTAGCAGTCCCCGTTGTGTAGGTTACGTGAAGTAAGAAAGAAGGAGAAAGTAAATGGAAGATAAAGGGGAATGAAAGTCATGAAAATGAAAGATAACACTAAAGAGTGAAGAGAATGACAGAATAAGAACTAAAAATTTGAAGATGGATATGGTCAGGAGAAGGGAAAGGTTTCGTGTTGCCACCCAAGAGCGTCTAACTGACGTTCGAAAGTCTTAACCGTAGGTTCACTGACTACACTTTCTGGAAGCGAGTTCCAGCGCTCGATAACTCTACGCGATAACCAAGTTTCCGCCCTGATCCGGTCAGAACGCGGCTTGTGTAGCTTCATGGGATGACCGCGAAGACAAGGCAACCTAGCCGGGCTAAATCATCATCATCAACAGCAGTACATCAGCCATTTGAACTGATGCTTCGCTGCCATACAACCATGAAGAACTATGAAATAAAGAATAAGAAGAGGGAGAGAAGGGGGACTTACCTGAAAATCTTAATGCCCTAAGCAAACATTCAGGGTCAAGGCGCCTACACCTTGTGTAGACAACATACCGCCACAAACAGCTGGCTATCGTGCAAAGATAAGGCGGCATCGGCGAGACAGCTTCCTTGCGGCTTTCACTGCCACGCGTCATAATCAGACACTATCCCGCAGATAACTCAGCACCAAACATACTTTAAACAGGCAATCCGATTAGGAGACGACAGCAGACGCGCCACTGGTGTCGGTTGCAAGCCATGTCCTGTAAAGTCTCGAGCCAAGCACAAGGCGAGTCACGTGGACTCCAACCCGGAAGGCGAGACGGACCAACGGCACCCAGTTTGGTTGTCAGTGACTTCATTTCCCGCTGCCAAGTCGATTTCTGTCCACCTCGAGTCTTGTGCCATCCTACACCTGGTAGACTGAACAAGGCTCTCCTAGGTAAGCGGTGACCAGGCATGCGTAGCACGTGCCCGAGCCAACGCAACTTATTCAGTGCTATCTGTTGTTCTAGGGAGCTAGCATGATTATCACCACCTAGTACTCGCCTACGCACATCATCGTTGCGGACACGCTGGTGCCATCCGACACCAGCAATGCTTCGCAAACAACGATGATCAAAGACTTGAAGGCGCCTCAGATCTTCAGACCGAAGGGGCCAAGTTTCACTACCATAGAGCAGAACGGCTCTCACTGTGGCCTTGTATACACGGCCTTTCAGACGGAGGGAAACTTTCTTCTGTCGCCAAAGATGCCGCAGGTTCAAGAAGGCAGCTCTGGCCTTTGCAATGCGTGAGCTCACGTCAATTTCTATGCGCCCATCATTGCTGATGCAGCTGCCAAGATAAGTGAAATGACCAACCACCTCGAGTTCCTCGTTAGCAAGCGTCAAGGGGTCATCAAGTGGCTGGTGGTCCTGCAGCAACACTTTGCACTTTGAAGGTGCGAAGTGCATACCAAATAATGGGACCACTCTGGATAGGCTATTCAGGGTTGATTGTGCCGCCTCAACATTGTCGGAAAGCAAGACGATATCGTCCGCATAATCTAGATCAACTAACCGTTCACCAGGCAGCACTTCAACACCTACATCGTGAGATTCCGCAAGGGAACACACC